CACTCTTAACCTTTCACCCATTCATTCACTGCTGCTGCTGATCAAGTACGGTACTTTGTCTTCAGTGTGCCAGCGCGAGTGGGTACTTTTTCCTGTGATTGGTGGCGGGATAAACCACGGGCACCACATTGCTGCAGTGGATGATAAGCCCTTTTTAGGAGGGGGAGCTCCACATATGCTGCCAGTGATAGTGAAGAGGGCGAGGAGTGCAGTTGAGAGTAGTCAAAATGGAAATGGAGAGGAAGAAGAGAGAAGAGGAAAACCAGCAAAAAATATGACCAATAGAAACATTAGCGGATAAGATTGGAACAAAATAATATTCCACCAGTGACGGACGGGGAGGGTGTGCTTTGCATGACCAATGAGACACATACATACTTGGCTGCCGCTGAGGTGTGCGGGCTTGGGCAAACTCGAAACTCGGTTTTGCTTCTGCTTGCTTGGGGAAGAGAACGTGCACCGAATGTGATTTCGGTGGGCCTACTCTCTCTCTCTCTCTCTTTCTCGGGTTCGCTCCAGTTGAGTCTGATCAACTTGCGCTTGGCTTCACTTGCATCGGCATTGCCCCTTGTCCCTATCCCTCTCTGCACAGTCGCGGGGACCTTTGCGTGAAAGTTAATGGACGTTGTCGGTAGTGCGCCACCATTTGATTAGATGACACAAACGCCTTTCTTTCTTCTTTTCTCTGTTTTTTATTCTTTGGTTTTAACCTCCTTAATCTTTCTTTTCTGCGCAGCGCAACTCGATCTCCCCAAACGACCGTGAGCAGAAGTTCCGACCGCGCAGTCCGACGTCGCCCTCCAATGAGCACAACGACAACATAAAGAAGCGAAAAGCGAAGGAGGAAAAGGTATGCTTACCGCCGTGGACACCGGCCACTGCCAACCACTACAATGGACTCATCATGCCGATCTTGCAGGACAGTGACGGCGAAAAAAGCGACCAGGAGCTGGTGGTGGACGTGGCGAATGAGGACGGCGGCGGCAATGGCAACTCCAACTCCGCCACCAATGGCACCTCCTCGCCGCGGGAGAACGGCAACGGTGAGGCGAAGTCCATCAAGAAGGAGTTCCCCTCGCACAGCCCGCACTCGAGCATCTCCTCCAACTCGAGTACGCCCTCTTCCAAGCACAAGGAGGTGAGCGAGAGTGCACCAGGAGCTTACTTTTAAAATTAGTGTCCAGTACTAAGCAAATATTTTCCGTTTGTTTTCTTCCCCCCACAGTCGGAGAAGTCGACCACTCCGGTTCCGAAGGCAGCCACCCCGAATGGGTCGATGTCTAAGAATAACTCCCTGCCGAAGACTCCACTCGGCCNGAAGACTCCACTCGGCCCGCCGTACCCTTACGGAATGCACCCGGGCGGTCCCCCTGGTCATCCCGGTCTGCCTGCCGACCTGAGTGCCGCCGCCGCCGCCGGTCTCTACCCGGGATCGCTGGGCCTGCACAACAGCATGCCGCCTGGCCTCAACAACTACCCACGTGGACTGGTAACTATTGAAGTTCAGCTACTGGCTGAAATTCTCTCGCGCCTTTCGGCGGCGTTGTTGACATTGCCCTGCTTATCTAATCGCTGCCTGTTTTTCTCTCTCTCTGCCCGTTTTCAGCCGTACCCCGATCCTCATGCGTCACTGCGAGGCACGCCTGGCTTCCCCTCCGGTCTGCCGGGCGCCGGCAAGCCCGCCTACTCCTTTCACGTCACCGCGGAGAACCAGGTCAATCCGGTGCACTTTCCCCCGGACGCGCTGAACGGCGCCGGCATTCCCCGACACGCCCGCCAGATCAACACGCTCTCCCACGGAGAGGTCGTCTGCGCAGTGACCATCTCCACGCCCACCAAGTTTGTCTACACCGGCGGCAAGGGCTGCGTCAAGGTGTGGGACATTAATCATCCGAACATGAAGACGCCCGTCTCACAGCTGGACTGCCTGGTCAGTGTCCAAATACACACTTTAGTCTTTCTTTGTTCAAATAGATAGTAGTGGTGTACTAACTGCGGTCCTTTTCTTTATTTGTTTATGATACCACAGCCACGTGATAACTACATTCGCTCCTGTAAGCTGCTTCCCGATAACCGAACGCTCATTGTGGGCGGAGAGGCAAACACCATTTCCATTTGGGACATTGCTGCGGTAAGGACATTGTGGCCCTGCCAGGCGATGGCGAAAGACGGTTCTCACCTAATTGCGATTTGTTCTCTTGTTTGCTCTTTGCAGCCATCTCCTCGAATTAAGGGCGAGCTTGCGTCAAGTGCACCTGCCTGCTACGCACTGGCCATTTCCCCGGACTCGAAGGTCTGCTTCAGCTGCTGCTCTGACGGCAACATTGCCGTGTGGGATCTGCACAACCAGAGCCTGGTTCGACAGTTTCAGGGACACACTGACGGTGCCTCCTGTATTGACATCAGCAATGATGGCCTGAAGCTGTGGACTGG